TTTGGTTGGAGAGCGTCCTTCTTCTTAGGAACCAAGGCAATAAAAGTTGCATTTGCTCCCGAGTTAAATTTGCCTCTCTCATAGAACTCTTCAGAAACCTCCAACAAATCCTCTCTAATTATCTCCCAACAATCTTGATAGAAGGCCATTGAAAAACCATCAGGCCCAAGAGCTTTAGCTCAATCCATGGAGAAGATTGCATTTCTCACTTCTTGGGCCTCAAATCTTTTTTCCAAAGATTCCAATAAGACACTATCTTCCACCCTCCACTTCAAGTCCTCTAAGCTCTCACTAGGTCTCCTTGGGTTGTCATACGCTAATTTGAAGTGATTAACCAAAGCTTGAGCTATATCATCTTCCCTTGTCAGCAATTGCCCATCCCACTYYAATTTTGAAACAKAAYTCTTCCTTCTCCTCCCATTTGCCAACGAATGAAAAAACCTTGTATTGATGTCCCCTTACTTTAGCCATTTGCACCTGGATTTTTGCCTCCAACTTATCTCCTCCTTCCTAAGAAGATCTTCCATTCCATCTTTCCACCCTACCCTCTTCCCCCAGCCTTCTTTCAGCTTCTAGTCCATCTAGCTCTTACACTCTCTCACTGATTTCCACTTTCCTTTGCTCTAATCTACCAAAAACCTCTTTATTTCAAATCTTGAGTCTAGCTTTCAAGAGTTGTAGTTTCTTGTAAAACCTATACCCCTTCCGTCGGAATTCCACTTAGTCCACTTCCCACCATGCTAGATGTAATCCTACGACTAGGGTTATTGGACTCGTTCAATAATCTTATTACGTTGAAATCCCCACCCAAACACCAAGGGCCATCCCACAAACCCCTAACGGCTGCTAGTTCTTCCCAGAAACCTTCCCTTTCCCTATAAGAGGTGGGACCATAGACATTAGTTAACACCCAAGCCCACCCATCTTCCTTTCTCTTCAATTTTATTGACACCGAGAAGTTCCCAATTAATTCTTCTTCACACTCCTAGTCTTCATTTCTCCACAAAGTAATAATTCCCCCTGAAGCTCTTCACGATTGTGCAAAGGCCCAACTCAAATTTCTTGTTGACCAGATGCTCCTCACCCATTTCTTGTCCACCTCAGTCAATTTTGATTCTTGTATTAAGACCACATCTGGCTTTTCTCTTCTCAAGAAGTCTTTGATCACTCGCCTTTTCATTAAACTCCCCAAACCTCTTACGTTCCAGCTTATTAACTTCATGGACAAACATTTCAGGTATCCCCAACCAAACCACCCTCTTTACTCCTTTTTCTATCCTTCCTACCCCCACTCGCTTTATCATAAACCACCCACTCTTCAACCTCTCCACCTTACTCAGCTTTTTTTTCCTCTTCTTAGAAAGTTCTCCTACCTTCTTACTAGACTCATCCACCTTCTCATTTCCTTCTAGTTTCTTACCTRACCCCTTCTTCTTCTTTTTCCGTTGTCCTTTTGATTTTCCACTATATCCACTTTTCTCCACTGTATTGGGAAATTGAATAATCTCCTCCTCAACCCTACCCTCTTTCACATTCAGCTCCTCTTCCATTCTGATTCTAAATAGTTCCAAGATCAACTCCCAAATTTTGTCCCCTAGTTCTCTTTCTTCTGCTTCTGAATTTATCTCCCCCACTACCTCTGTCACTTGTCCTGAATCAAATGAATTGGCAGACTTTATAGCTGGGCCGGAGTCACCTGTAGGCCAGACACACACAGGACTTGGGGAAACAGAGTTAGTAACCAAAAACTGAACCTGGAAACAATCCAAACCTTGGGAGGAAGAAGACGCAATATGAGTTGCTGGAATAGCCTGAACCCCTTTTGTTTGACTTTCGCTGGGAATAGGACCCTCGAAATCAAGATCTGGATTGATTGCAATGGGAAACGGGCAGTTTATAGCTCTGCTTGGAGGAACCAGATTGCCAACACACACCGTACAAGCACCCATTCCCTGGTCTTTACAAAAGATTGAATCCCCCTTTCTCCCTGTTTCGGCTTTCTCCTCACCTGAGCCTGTTTTCTTTCTTTCCAACTCCTTTCTAGGCCGAACCAACTCTCCTGGAAGTGTACAAGCCTCTTCTTCGAATAGTAACTTTAATCCTGGGTCATCTTCCTCCCCAAACCTTGAACGACATTTACTCTATATACTACCATAGCTGGACTCTTCAACATACAACTCCTCTTTCAGAGACTCATCATCTACACTTACCCAGTCTGAAGCAGAATCCTCCTCTTCTAACCTCGTGCAATTATATCTCGGATTAGGTTTATCTGGGCTAGTGGAGTAAGAGACCAGTCTTGGCTGCCATGCTAAAGTCGGACCAGACATTCGTTTTTCTTTTGAGCCAGTTGCAGACCAATCTGAAGAGGACAAAGATATACCACAGCGAATGTCCATAGTCTTTTGAGCCTTGAGAAAAGTTCTGAGCAACTTGAGAACAAATGGTTTGACATTTAATCTTTATCAATATTCACCTTTAATAAAACCATAAATCAACATTATTGTTAAATGATAAAAAAATTGTCACCAGCAATTTGAATTGGAAGTTTGTCTAATGATAATAAAACATTAATAAGATAGTCAACAAGATAAAGTCACCATCACCATGAATATAAGAAAGGCAAGATAATAAGCAAATAGAAACAACCAAAACCCAAGAGGGAAACCTATAAGACCTTCAATAAACCGTAAGAGAAAAGACAGTTTTGGTTATTAATATAACATGATGAAGTGACTGAGATCCATTTGAAGGACTAGGTAAAGTTAAAAGCATCTCTTAGAATTAAATAAATAGATTATTGTTATCCAAGTTTTGACTTTTATAATATTGGTGATTGTAGTATAAGATGCTTGCCAGAATTTGTTCTTTTCTTATTATTTTAATCTCAAGATACAACTGCTTGGGGTTTCAAGTAAACTAAATAAACGGTAAGATGCACATAATAGGACGAAAAATATACCATATATTCTCATCTTTCATCAATGTGCAGGGTTCCATCATTTAACCTTTTCCTTCTTTCAAAGGGGAGGTAGGAGATTGGCCAGGACTAGGGCTGCAACTCGGGTTGAGCCCAACCCTAAGTTCTAAACCCCAACCCTAACCCTAACACTATCTAAATTCCTTCAACCCTGTCCCAACCTAACCCAACCCGAAGTCAATTTCGGGTTGGGTTGGGCTCGGGTTGGGCCCAACCCAACCTTCTTCCCATCCCTTAAAACCTCATAGAATTTCTCGATTTTAGATCTTAACTCAATTCTCACTACATATATTAATCCTATGTTTCATTAATATTTGTTTGTTGACTTTTTTTGTTCTTTTGGTACAAAATTCAGAAAAACAAGTATCAGAAATGACTATAGTTTATTATGAGTTGACTTATGATAGATCTTTCTTAGGTGGCAAACAACATATAGGAGATGAAGAATAAAATTTTCAAATAAACATAAAATAATGTTATTAAGGTTTAGTCTTTCTTATTAGAATTAAGTGAAGTGATTATCTTAAAAGAAATACATGATACTATATGGTGGGGGCTATACAAATATCATGCATCTAAACAAATCAATGTATGTTATACATGTACATATAACATATATTTATATATGACATGTACTATAGAGTCGGGTTCGGGTTGGGTTCAGGCAAACCCAGCCCAAGTTGCAGCCTTAGCCAGGACTCAGGATCCAGTTACTTCACATTATTAACATAAAAACCAACATTACATTAATAGCTCAAAATGACAACAAAAACCAAACTAGAAACAAGTTAAATAATAAATAGTAGGAAGAAAGAAGACTTACGGCCTTAATAGCAAGCGGGGATGATTTTTAACAAGGCTGTCCATCTCATTGAAAGTTTCAACCCCTGTCTGCCATATGATGAAAATGTTATCATTTTCCGCCAACATCTGATAATAGAGGTTCAGGATAGCAATGTTAATAGCATTGGCACCAAAAGATCCCCCAAGAACCAATATAACCTTGGCTTCTGGATCCCAAGTCTTTGCTGCCTTTGGGAAGAAATGCGTTCTAGCAACAGCCTTCGACACATATCGCCTTAAAGACGACCTCACTGGATTCCCACACACAACACACTTATCCTTGGGAAAATATACCAAAGACGAATTGAAAACAACAAAAATGAGATCAGCGAAACGCGAAAGGACCCGATTCGCGATCCCCGGCATTGAGTTTTGCTCTTGAATCACAACCTTTAATCCTTGGAGAGCCGCAGTGAGGCACACCGGGAAAGAGACGTAGCCGCCGGTCCCGACGACGATCTGGGGGTCGAAATCGCGCAATACTTTGCGACTTTCCAGCATAGCTTTGATCAGACGATACGGGAGGAGAACATTTACGGGGGAAAAGAATGGACGGGCCAACGGCACGGCGGGAATAGTAACGAAATCGTACCGGGCCGAGGGGATAACAGTACTTTCCATTCCATTTTGGGTTCCAACGAAGAGAACTCGGATTCTAGGGTTAATGCTCTTCACCTCATCGGCAATGGCAACGGCAGGATAAATATGGCCACCGGTCCCACCGGCGGCGAACATGATCCGGAGATCATCATTGGTCTGGCTTGGAGGAGAGCGATTTTCATCCGTCCGATCTAGCGCTAAGCAGCAGAAGAGCTTGAGATTCCTAAATTGAGAACAGAGACATCAGCCAATACAAAAAGAGAAATAAAGAAGAGAAGACTAAAGAAGTACCTGCCTTGGTTTAGCAGAGGCTTTGAGAGGAGGAAATTGGAGAGAGTGGTAATTATGTGAATTGGAAAAGCATGGAGAAGGTGAAAGAGTAAGGGAAGCCATTAGAATCGGTTCCAAAGCTCTGCTTCAGCGTAGGCATCTGTAGATTCAGACAAAGTTCAGTACTAGGGGAGTAGGTACTTCAACTCTTGACTCTTGACTCTTGAGTGTGTTGGTGTTTTCAGGGAGTGAGAGAAAGAGAGAAGACCGTCCTCTGCCTCGTGGGCCGTGGAATGAGGTTCCAAGCCCAGTTTTGCACGTTTTACACGAGCCCGGATCTCCTGCAAACAAAAACTGCTAAACATGATAATTTAATAGCTGCCGTTAAATATTTGAAAAAGATACAAATATCCTTGAGTCTCATTTAATTTTCTTTATCAATTATTCAAAGATTGATAAAAAAATTAACAGTTTGTCACCACTCACCAAAATGCCCATTCAAATATGACCCAAATTTTTTTGAATGGAAAAGACAAAGATTTGGGACTATTAATTTTTTGTCAATGTTTAGATGGTTAATAAAGAAAATTAAATAACACCTGAAGGGCATTTGTGTCTTTTTTAAATGTCACTTAACGATTGGTTAATAGCTAGTTAATGGCGGGTATTGGATTTTCATGTTTTAAAAGTTTGGGTACTGAATTGTCGCATTTTAAAATTTGGGGACTAAAATGGCACTAAACCCAAAGTACGAGGCACTAATCGGGAATTTTCCTTTTTTTTTGCTTGCAAGGAATTTTGTGGCATTTTACATGTAGCGACTTATAAAATTGTTAATAAAATACGGGGAATTAGTTAAGTCAGCCTAAGGTCAAACCCTAACCTAGTCCTAAGTCTAGAATCCCCAACGCTAATCGACTAATCCTAACCCTAATTTAAATCTCTCAACCATAAGCCAACCTAATGGTGTGCTATCTAGTGCTCCCTGTTGACGGATAGTTCAGATGCTAGACTGAGTAAGTCACCTAGCTGATAGGGTTGTTCACAAATAAATTCAAATCGATCAAACCAACCAACCTGGCCGACCCAACCTGATTTGGTTGGTTTTTCTTCACCACTAGTCGGTTTTGGGTTGGAAAGATGGGTAAACCGATTATTCGATTTGGTTTCGGTTTTCATGTGAAATTGAACCGAACCGAATACAATTATCTATAAATATATTCTCACTAAAATATTATATATAATATGTATATTTTAATTTTAAATATATATATATATATATATTTCTAAAATGTATATTTCAATTTTAAATATATTTTCAAAAAAGGTATTCTAGAATATTATATATAATATGTATATTTTTGAAATATATATTTTTTAAAAACTAAAATATATATTTCGGAAATGTATATATTTAAACCAAAACCGACCCAAACCGACCAAGTTGGTTTTGCTTAATAGAGGGTCAGTTTCGGTTTAATCTTAAGGTAACCCAACCAAGTTGGGTCAGTTGAAAAAAAAGCTAGTAAATCGGCCCGTGAACAGCCCTACTAACTGAGTTGCAAAAGAAGAGATCAAAGTGTTCGAATTGCTTGACCTGGGGTGGGCACTCCAATGCTTAAGTTAGCAAAAAATTTTGAGAGAGCTAAAAAGTGAGAGAGTTAGAGAGCTAGTGAATTGTGAGAGCTAAATCGTGCTTACCTTTTTTGAGGAAGGGGACGCCTTTATATGGGCAAGTTGTCTTGAGGCTCACGAAGCGCGTCCGAGATCTCTGGCTCGTCTGGTTTGGAAGTGGTTTCAAGCTTGGAGGTGAACTCTGCATAAGCGAGTAGTGCTTATCAAACTGCACCCGAAGTGGGTAGGGTGATAATCAACTTTTCCAAACATGGCATTGTGATCCCAGGGAAGTCGGAGACGATAGCCTGCTTAAGGAGGAGGTCACCCGGCGCGTCAGGCAGGTCGCCAACTCGGTTCCAATTAGGTTGACAGGGTCTTGGAGGAGGTCGCCCCTAATGCTGAGGTCCCTAGCTTGGTTGTGATGAGGTCACCACCTGAGTCTTCGTTACGTCGGCGAAGGTAGGTTGCCTCTTTTGCTGACCTAGTCCTGTCAAGATCTTACACAGTCAGGTCAGCAGCGGTAGGTCGCAAATTGGGTCTCTATCAAGTTGGTAAAGGTAGGTCTCCAATTAAGTCTTTGTCGGGTCAATGGAGGTAGGTCGCCAACTGGCTCTATTAGGTCGGTGGTGGTAGGTCGCCACTTGGGTCTTCGTCAAGTTGGCGGAGGTAGGTCACCACCCGAGTCACCGTTAGGCGGTGGAGGTGTAGGCAAGTTGACCACCATGTCATACAGGTTGCTACCTGGACCTTAGTTTGGTCGATGAGACCTCGGCGGAAGGTCTCAAGCTCGGTCCTAAGGTGGCCACCCCGTTCCTGACGAGGTGTCTACAGGTCGGCCATGGTGAGGTGGTGAGGAAGTGCCCTCAGGACACATGGTTCTGAATAAGTCTCCGTCATCTTTTTGCCTACGTAATATCGGAGTGTCATACAATGATTCTAGAATCACCACATGGCATGCTATCACTAGAGGGCAAAATCTGCCCTCGTCACAACCCAAACACGAT